CCACAAGACTACCCCCCCTGTATGGCCATCTTGGGAATAAATCCAAGCTGTAGGATGTCCCACTCCTCTAGCTCCCCAAGCCCCCCCCCCCCCACCCCCACCCCAAGGCAGAGGACCTCATCTGCTGTCACTTATAACCTTTATCTTATCCTAACAGCAAATAGCTAGTTTAATATATCAGTGAAAAAATGATGAATGACACATTGTCATATTCTATGCTAAAATGCAGTGTAAAAGGCTACTATTTATTGTACTACTTTTGGAAAGATTACCACAAAAACTTTTTATTCCTTTTTATTTCAAGAGTTACTAATTTCTACTCCTAAAATACAGTACACACAATTTACAAAATTTCCAGTTAAGCCTACTGCCACTTTAAAATGCCCACAAAACAACCTTACCATATATTTCAAAACTTTGAGAATTAAATCAATGTAAACTTTTGAAGCCTTCCCTTTAAAAGTTGATTTGATCTGAGGCATTCTATTGGCTGCATCAGTGTCATGTGGGGAGTGAAACTAAACAAAGTCCCCGCTGCATTCAATTAGGAGCATGGCGCCAGAGCTACTAGCCCACTGCATGCAGGAGAAAACAGCCAATTGAAAAGGGCACATGCTGAATTTTTTCATGTCAGGCCCTTTTTTTTCACTGTTGTTGTTGTTGATATTTACTGAACATAAAATGTTGTTTGAATCTCAGCACTGAATAGTGCGAACCACACAATAATTTCTACTGGTTACACCACAACAACTACAAATGTACAAAAATATTTTGCTAGTTTTACTAATTTTCAATTTTAAAAGAAGAGATAGGAGCATTAAATGCAGATGGCAATATCCACCAATAGCCTATAGTTCCACAGGCATAGTTGTATCTGACACTGCCAATCATTCTTTTTTTCATCATGTACAAGTGCCTTGCTGTACTCGGGTCAATGCAATGGAGGATAAGACGCACACAGCTTCAAAGACAAAACTTGCTTTACCTAATATCCTGGAGAAGATGAGAATTAAGAAAAGCAAATTTTGGAGCCAATTTGCCCCAACTTCAAGGCATTCTGGTGGAAAGTAGCATAACATTTGAGGTAGACAAGCTTCTCCTAATTGCCTCCCAGGCCAAGAGAGGTGCTTCACTGCTGGATTCAAAGACTGCAGTACAACAGCACACGTCCAGGGAGAGTGTGAGAAAGTGGCTGCTTGGAAATGGAGTTTTTGATGCAAAAAAAGTTGTTTCTGCTAATTCAAAAGCAACAAAATCAAAAAGTCAAAGGCTTGCTTGAACCAAATTAGGTCCAATGACTGATCAAAGTAAATAATAAAATCCTCACTTTTTACTTATTTCTAAGGCAGGTCTGTTATACTGAAAAATAATTTGATAACCAAAACCTATTCATTGAAGACAGAATACAGTTATTACTTGATCTTTTAAATGGGGGAAAATTGTGAATTTTAAAGATACTGTATTTTCTTAAATCATAATTTCTTATAATTAAAACACTGCTATTGAGTGGTAGCAACAAAATTAAAAAGCAGGCTACTCTATAGTTGTATTCTATGTCAAAATCACCACAAATGCTATGCAGAAACAGAATTCTTATAATTATAAAATTATGTATCTGGAAGTTTGATAATTTTTGAAAAGTTAATTATTTACTAAGTTCAAGTAATTACTCTTTAAGCCAAAGAACCATAAGATCTTCCTTAATGAAAAAATATTTTTGAATATCAAAAAAATTACAAACCAACTGTCTTGGTGGAAGAAAAAGGAAGGGGATAGTGGCAAACAGTTGAGAAATAGAAGGAAGTGGCTTCACTTTCTTTTCACATTTTTACCGATTTCATGATGAAATAGTCCCCCATTTCAATCTTGATTCAAGATTCTGAGCAGGGTTGCTGGCATGATATAAACATACTTGACATGACAGCAGACAAGTCAGTATAAAAGGAAGGTATTCTCTTGACTTATTTTCTCCACAGGACACCACTCAGGGCCAAAACAAATAATTCCGGAATCAAATGAACTTCATGACAGTCAGTGGACAAATCAAAATAAAATGTTAAAAAGAATCCATATCATTGGGTTACCTAGCTGATAAGCTTTGAGGCAGGATGCAGAAGAAGATCAAGTTACAATATGTGTGTGTGTGTAAACCAACAGCAGCATGCATGCACGAGAGCTCATCACATGATCTAACCCTCCTCCAGCTGGTCTGTATGTCACACTAAGCTCACTGTCATGGCTTTTGTTCACTGTGAAAGGTAAACACACAAAACTACATGTTAAAGCATTGTCACAGGTTGACCCAAAAGTCAGCATCCAAACTAGCATTCATTTCACATGCAAAATTTTTGCTGACCTATTAACTTTTATTCTGAATGCATCACCAGTGGGAACCGATTACCAGAATCGTCTTCTAAGAGAGAATAAAAATGTGCATTTGGATTATCTCATGGAATGATTTCCTTTCCAACTACTGCAAACATACCCCGCAATGTATGATGATTATATTACTTGATTCATTTTCCCCAGACTGTGACAGTGAAACCAGTTTATGATAATAATCATGTTATTGACCTCAGTATCTTAACTGGAATCCCCATAACAATATTTCACAAATGGAGGACTAAAGGGGTCCTGGGTTGCATGAAGACTGTCCATCTTGGCTGCTTACATTACACGGTTGATAACAGTCACTGGGAAGGTGCATCTAACAGGTTTGCATGACAACATGCAACTTTGGTCTGAGATGTTTAAACACGCACACTATGGCTGAAGCAGAGGACAGGTCTTCCATGTAGTTGAATATCTAAGAATTCACTCCCTTACACTGTGCTAGCCTAGATATCACGCAGCTCAATGTACCTAAAAGCTAACTTGTACTGAGAAGTTTGAATAATCAAAGTTTAAGTTTAAATGATATAAACTACTAATGTTAAGTTGAAGTTTCGTCAGTTTTATTTTTAGAGGTGGAAAAGGCAAAAAAAAAAAGATTTCTTATGTTCATAACAACTTTTGGTGAAAATTCAAATCAGTTTTATCTGTGCATAAACTAAAAAACATGAAAAAAGTCCTAACACATACACTTATCTAATAGTATAAAATAATGCAAGTTTTACAGCTTTTACCTCAAAAATATTGTTCCATGATTTTTTTTTTTGAAACAATAAAGTTTTTTTTTCAAATTTTTAATGGAAACAAATCTCATCTGACAGTATATAGCACTGGATTTTTCCAATACTGTAGCAGATTATTTTTCATACTATAAATAATCATTTCTATCATTTAAAAAAATGTTTAAACTTGGAAGATAAAGTTAGAGACAGGAAATTGTTGTATTCTACCAACCAAAACATAATTCATGCAGACTAATAGTAAGTCAAAATTAAATAATTAATTTTCCTCTGCATGAAATATTGCAATATATTTCAAATTAAAGATTTCAAACACTCCCATTAAAGGGGAAATGGTTTTTGGAGTCTGCTAGCTGGATACAGGATGTCTCTTCAAAGACAAACACATAATGGAGTGAATCTGTCAGGCAAGCCAAAGACACATTAAACTCAGAGTGTGCATGAGAGAGAAAAATGTACTGTAAAAACTAGCCCTGCTGCTTTGAGTTTTTTTTCTCTGTGTCTATTCCCAGTTGTAGAATGAGTGAGAGTGGAAACAATGAGAACTGACAATGCAGAAACAGAAGCAAATAAATATTGATTAAGAACTGAAAATTGGAACTACTGTGTAGGATAATTATTATCTCTTTTCACTTGCTCTCTCTCTCTTTCTTCAAATACACACACACACACACACACACACACACACACACACAGTGTATAAACACAAAATGTAAAAAAATGCAACTGAATTTAAATGCCACTTTGAAAAAGAATTAATTTTTCAAATCTTCATTAAATTTCAAATCTGCACTAAACCTTAAATAAAATTCCAAAATANAATCACCAATCCTCAGCACAGAAAAGATCTATAAAAATTGGATATTTAACATCTCTGAGATGATTTCAAATAGATGATACAATGCACGTATAATAAGTTCAAATGCCACCTCCTTGGTACAGCATGTCCTGACAGTATGATTCCTATTTTTTAAGGGAAAACAACTCTTCATTTTGGAGGGAAAAGTGCCATAAAATTTCTGGAGTAAACACCTATGTTCCCATACTTTCCAGTGATTAATAAATCAGTTCTGACATTCAAAGTTAATCAATTTTTTAAAGTGTGTTCACCGGAGGAAAGTCATCTATGAAGGTACATGTGTTCGGATGGCAAGCACAGATTTCAAAATTATTGTGATAACTGCAGTTCTGGTGGAATAATGAAATTTATGGTATTTCCATGTGTTGTTTACAATGTATTTATTGTGGAATTTTGAATCTCATATGAAGTGTTGTTATCCCTTTAATTCTCAGTTTTATTAACTTGCTGAATCCTACAGCAGGTAAACTGAATACAATATTAACCCTCGCCCAGCACTGATATATCCAGGACAGCCGTCACATGACTGCTAGTTGTATTTAAGCACCACCATACAGATAGCTAAAGGTAACTTTTATATGATGCATCTTTGGATTTGAATCTTGCCTAGGCAAGGCTGTCTTTGGCACCTTGTTTAAGCACATACAGTAGCAAATCTGCCTAAATGAGATCCCAACAGGAATCTTGACCAGGCTAAATCACAATTGGCATCTCATCTAGGCAAATTGACCATCTGCCTGTATTTGAATCTTGACAGTGACATATTGTTTCATAATTTAAAATATCATAAAAAAATGACAGTTAGGCATGCAAATGCACAGCACCATTATCTATAAAGCAACAATAATAAAACATAACTTGGTGTGGTCTGAACATAAAAATCCCCTCTCTCCCCACCCCCCTCACAAAATGGGCAATGTTTTGATCAGTCATAAGTACATAAAAGCTCAAGAAATGGATGACATATGGAAGATGTCCCAAGTTTTGACAGACAGATAATTCTAGTATACCTGGATTATTGTTCCACTTATTTATGGAGAAGTTATGGTTACTTGCAATGGTGACCACAGCTGGGTTAGGGATGAAGGGGTGTGTGTTGGCCGTGAGATGAACCACTGGAGAGTTGGACAGAAACTTCATGATCATACACACGTCATCCAAGTTGTTTGAAAACATCATTGGTGTCTGGAAAAAAAAGACATCAAAATTAAATATAATTGAGGAATGATACTAACCCAGACCAAGATAGCAAGAGTGACACATGTGTACACAGTTATTACCATAAAGGTATCCCATCTGGGATTTTCCAGCCAAATCCAATTTTCCCTGGAAAAAGTAATTGTCTCCTACTCACAAATCATTGCTAGATCTGTCCCTGCACTCTGATTTTATATTCATACCATTGTAATTAAATAATCATGTCCTATATGACTAACTAACTGAATAGTAATCAAATTTTCTACATGTTTATGTAGATAATTAAATATTTGTGGTGATTATGCTGTTAAACTTTAGGTAATATTGCATCAAAAATGACAAAAAACCTACTTAATGAACTGCCACCACAAACATTATGACAAGAAAACTGTGCTACTTATTATTTTGTAACTTACAAGAATGATACTTAGGATTGACATACACCTCATATTGGAAAACCAGCTTGTTTGGATTATCTTTTTCTTGAATTTATGCATTTTTTCTTGTGAAATTTTCATTCATCTCATTCTGGCATTTTCAAAGTGTGAACTTGAACTCTCATGGGCCTGAAGCCTTATGTTGACATTTTCAAATGCAGATAGTATATTTTAAGCAAAATCATTGAAAGAAGCATTATGTGGCAAAATATTCTGTAGATGAACAGTTCATTCAAAAAAGAAATTCATTAATTTTCATTGCATCCAAACTTAAATGTGCTTGAAAATGATGCACACTACATTTTGGTATTCATGAGAAAATTGGTTAAAATTTCTTGGAAAATCATCATTTCTGCTAAAAAACTAGGATAGTTAACAAGATATTAACAAGACAAAACTTACCACATGCATAGCAGAGCTTCTGGGAGGATGAGGCTCAGTGAGAAGCTGTGATGGGGTCTGGCCAAAACTTCTGATCTGGTTTTCTATGGCCTAGAAAAAAATGTAATAAATCTCTTTCATAAAACTATAAAAATAAATGAAGTTAAAAACAAAAGTAAGAAAGATTACAGTCTAAATGTGGATGGAATGTAAAAGACAGCTCATTAAAATCTTAAGAACCATTAAATTTAACTAAAAATGATCCTCTTTTTTTCTACTTTAAAAACGTGCATCTTTCTTAAAATTGACTTCTCATATAAGAAAGTACCATTGAAAGCCGTTACTTGAACTACATTGAGGTCACTTAATAACTTGACACCAGTTTCCAGCTTGAGCTGGTATTCTGTCATCCACATCCTTTGTTCTTTTCCATCTTCTTCATATTCTTGTTCAAATGAACATGGCTATATTTCATCTTCGAATTCTACATGTATGACTTAAGGAGATATTTCTACAATGACCTAGGCCTTTCAATGCAGTAACACACCGTTATGATTACTTATCTCTGCTTAAGGATATTGTTACCCTTTATTATCATCCTTTTGCATTAAACCTTTTTCACCTTCAGTAGGGTTTACATTGCAGCATACTGCATTAATGTGGAATATTTTAATTATACATAGTACAAACTCCAAGTGTTACTCCTTATATTTTATTGTATAAGAAATTAGTAGAAGTGGTTTGAATGCATTACTAGGAATTCACGCTTGTTTCACATGTATCTTTAAGTATCCTTTCCAGGTCACTATTTGGGAGGAGTTCAGTAAGAGCTGGAGACTATATACCCTTTTTGTTTAGTACCTCTTTCATGACAGGATCCTTCATGTTTTCTAAATCCACACTGCCTTCATAGGTCAGGTAGTAAAAAACATTGGCTGCTCGCACTGCTTCAGGTCCTGAAAAACAAACAGCATTATCACTATGTGCTGAGTAACTGACCAAAAGGTCAAATCGGCAATATTTGTTTTCATTAATTACAAGGTATATTATTAACCTAAGTAAATCTATAATGAGTTCATGTTTTATGTTTAACAGTACAATGCATTTCATAAAAATGATCAAGCAAGTAATTTTTTTTAATCTGTTTGACTATAAATATACACACAATTAGGTCACAGGGAGTAGAAGGTAAGTGCTACAAAAGATTGCATTATCAGGATATATTCTAACACTAATTTTCCTTACTTTTGTCTTAAAACAAACAGTATTACCTCTCTGCTTGTAACCAAATATCAAATCAATCCACTGGTGTAGCTGGCAGGAAACAAATTCAGATTCTAAAGCCTGACAAAAAAATTAAGAAAAAAATCAGTTTACAAGCAGATATTACAACATACAAAAAAATCAAGAAATAAATCAGTTTAAAGGAGGATATAACAACATACAAAAAAAAAAAAAAAAAAAAAAAAAAAAAAAAAAAAAAAAAAAAAAAAAAAAAAAAAAAAAAAATCAAGATATAAATCAGTTTAAAAGTATAATAATGTATAGTTTATATAACTTCAGATTAAAGTATGTGTAAAATTATACAGTCAAGTGATCAAAAACAAAAAGCTGTGTTTGACCCCCTACCATTCTGTTGATGCGTACAAACTCCTCCCCATTCTTTGCCCATTGTGGCAAAATGACATCATTAACAACTGTACCGTCTTCTTGTTTGCCAAAGTTAAAACCGTTATTGTTGACGAACATCTCTGGCAGGAAGAAAAATTCTGGAAGTAGCTCCTAAAATCACAACAGGGAAAAACAATTAAGTCATCAATGAACTCAAGTGATGGTGTTTTCAGAAAACACTCACTAGTTATTGCTATGGTACCACTCAATTATTTTATGAATGCATATGAAAAGAGAAATGAAACCATCAAGAAACATGCACACAGCTAAATGAAAAGATTTTTATGTGCGTTAAGAATTATGAAACCAATTGCAAACTGCATGTCAAGATGACCAGAATAGATTTCATCATTTGAAAGATGCACTGAAGGACAATTGAGCAGGCTGATGGAGGGAAGAGAAACCATGAATTTTGAAGGGGTTACTATAAAATATGTTAAGTTATGGTGAGTCCTCAGAGCTGCTAAGACTGCTAAACTACCATAGTCATTAGTGTGAACTAAATAAACATACATTGTAGCTAAAGCAATCTTAAAACTCCCCTCTCCCCAATATTTAGCCTAAAATACAAATGAAAATGCTGTTGACAAAACAAAATAGGTCATAGTAGCCCAATTGCTGATGCCATATGATAATTAACTTTTGACCAGAGGATTTGTAGTGCTAAAACTGAGAAATCAATATCAGAATTCTAACAGATATTTGCAAAGAGGCAACTTAGCAAACATCTTAGACCAATTCTTGACTTTACAGAATCAGTAATATGTGTCTGTCAGGCTGGTAGTGCAGTTCCAACTGTACCTTGACATCAGACGTGTCTCTCTGGCAGTTCTTCCATGTCTGTGAGATAGAATGGAAGGTTCTGTTGGCATGGTCAAACTTCCCGCCTTGAAGGTTCAGGAACATTGACGTAAAAGGCTCCTGCAAATAACAGAGATAATATATCAAATCATGGATTAACTGCACCTAAAGTTTTGTAGTATTTCAATAGAAGTTAATTTTCTGGGCAGGTTGCTTTTTTCAGAGAGATGCAAATTATATTTCAGATTTATTTTACAAGCTGTGTTATATACTGCAAGAAAGAGTTGCAAAGTGATATATCCATCAAATGTGTAAAGTAAAAAGAGAAATTCAATTCACAATAGATCATTTCTTAAAACAGAATAATAAATCATAAATATGATTATCATATATTAGGTAGAAGAGGTCTGTCTCACTATCCTGATCAGGAAGTTGAGAACAAATGCAGATGTTGAGTAGTGCGTCCCATAATGGAATGGTGGAATAGACTCATGCTCCCAGGTAGAGTACCGTTCTTCAAAAAATGCACGCCGACTTGGGTTTAAGGCTCCAATAGGCTGCAAAAACGAATCAGGTATTATAAAACTGTGAACATTTTTGTGCTCTATTGTAAGCTAATACAATGCTTGTGTGAAAGTTACAGCTATAACTCATGTTTGTGCTCCTGAAGGGATAAAACAACCACTTTCTCCAGGTACGTATTGTATGTAAATTAAACTGTCATTCTGATCTCTTCAGTACAGTCCTCATTTGTTTAAATGTTCTTGTATTAGAAAAAATGTTTAAGCTTCTGGACCTTTTAATTTTTATCACACACAATGTTAAAACTGAAAATATGAAAACAATCTTGGAAAAAAGACAACAATGAACTAATGAAATGATTTTCACAAATTCAAAAGCAGGCTAAACCAAAAACATTCCAGGGATTGGCCAATAGCACTTAGTTCTTTTATCTTTTGAAATTTTTTATTTTTGTGCTTTTGTGTGGCACCACTGTAGTCAAAATCTAGAGAGCAACCAGTGTGCATCAAAGTTTGTGTATAGAAATACCAAAGTACCAATGACACAATGATGAAATAAGGTACCAGTAAGATGGCTCAGCCTCTAAACAGGCGAGAGGACAGAAGGTCACAGCTAGATAAGTTTATTTAATTTTGTTTAGTAAAAAGCTACACTATCTTTACGGCCTTATATCATTAAAAACATAAATATGATTAATCACTAAGACAAAATTTTGTGAAAATACCCTGTTTTACATAAAAAAAAAACAAAAGTAAAAATAGTTTATTGATTCATTTGAAGTCAAATCTTTGCCATAAACCCAACCAAATGCTACCATATAGGTTGAAATAGCATAACTTATTTAAATCAGTATTAAAATACCAAAGGGCATCCTTTTATATATCCCCCAAAAATGACATTTGAATGGGTATTTTTTGCCTTCTTTCCGTGCTATAGAATCTACAGCCCTTGATCGTTTTCAGCAACTCATTTCAATAATTGCATCTGCAGCAGCAATGTGCCATACATTACTACATCATTTGGAGGACTTTCAAGAACTGGAAGGGCTGATAAGTTGGAAATTTATTTATAAAAATTGAAGAAGGTACAGTTTCAAAGCTCTTTTATAACTGATTGAGGGATTAATTTGGTATAAGTCTAGGCATATCGACTTTATTTGAGTTGTGTCAGAAACTTATACAAATGGTTTATATGCATTATAGGAAATTTGTGCTCACTTTCAAGTTTACATGAGATCCTGTAGAGGAAACTGAACTGCTAATAGGATATTTTTGGCCTTTTTTGATCATTTTGTTTGAAACAGTTAAATTGGACCTGAAATACATTGCCTATTTATTTATTCTTTTAGAAATCAGGCTTCTTGTTGTATACATTATTTATTAAGATACAATGCCACACTGTAGTCACTGGTGATGGCTTTATGTCCAGACAAATATTGACTGTCCATCAAAACTATGAAAAATAATACAATTTATATATATATATATATATATATATATATATATATATATATATATATATATGATGCCATCTTTGTTCACTAAAATAACTACAAAAATTGAAACAGAACTAAGGACAAAGTGTCATCAGCCTACTGAAATGGCACACAATGACAAGACAATTTTTCTCTATATGTTCTTTGATGTCAATTACATACAACTATAATTTATCATACTTTATTTCTCAAACCTCTGACACACCTTTGATAAATCTCTGTAGTTACTAGGCAGGCTGAGGTCCAGTTCACTGGAGTCATAGTTGGATATGATCCACGGGAACACTGGGTACTGGTTCATGTCATTGTAGGTACGACCTGGAATACAGACATATGCTATGAGATATACACACATAGTAAACCATTTATTGCCTATCTAATATCAAATCAAAAATAATGAATGCAATTTTTATAACATGCCACTATGAACACCCCTAAAAAGATGATGTTTTATTCAAAGACACAGAAAATCAACAGTTTAGTATTCGAATAGCAGGGAACAACTGGGTCAGTGACTTAACCTGTCATCCATATCATAAGACAGAACATTTCACGGCATTTTTTCAGCATGAATAACTTATGTACCAGTTACAACAATTTTCAAACTCAACCCAACTTTTTTTTATAACAACAAAGCATACTTATAATATTTAAGTAAAACAAAAATATGGTTTGATAGTTTTAGATGTGTCAGACAGTGACTACAACGACATGGACTGATACAATTCTCAGAATACAGACAAACACATACAGTGTCTGTACATAAAAACTCCATTTCAGTCACCTGCTATTGTATTCAGATACATGAGATAGTCATAATTGGACAGCTCACGACGTCTCCACTTCTCGGTCATATTGGATAACTTGTATAGCTGTTTGGCTGTGGCAAGGGATGACTTTCTGAAAGTGACAATGAAAAGGTTTCCAAACAGCAATCATAAAATGTGTTAAATATGTATTACCTAATGTTATGTCATCTTATCACTCATCTCAAATGACCATTTCACAAAAAATTAGCCAAACTCATCCAACAGAAGTTTCAGATACCTTCTTTGCGGCAGTCCATACTTGACTCCTATCCCCACTGGGGGCAGTGCATTGATCACCTTCTTCACAGTGGCATGGTCAGGGAAGGCAAACATCACCGCAGCTAAAATAGTTAGATGGCTACATTAAGTAAAACTATTCACATAACATCAACTTCACAACAAGGCCAACAGATCAGTATACAGAAATTTAACATAAAAATAAATCTTAAAGATATTTTAAAGAAAGAATTACACTAGGTACAGAGGTAGACATGTTTGGAATTGAAAAACCAAGTCATTCAAACATGAAAATTCTAAATCTTACAAAAATACAACTGAAAATACATGTTACAAATGAAAAGTTTTATTCAGTGATGAACATAAATTTAATACCTATGTCAGGTACTTACTCCTGTTGGCCATGAAGATCTCAATGGCCACATTCTGCAGGAGATACCTCCGGGAGAAAATGGCACGTATCTCAGAGAAGTGCCACTTGCCATGAGCTTGCTCTATATGCTGCAGCAACTGGAAGAAAACAAAAACAATATTGTGAACATCAAGACCTTAACTTGAAGCTTTTGTACATAATTTCCTGATAGTTTAAGTGACATAACCAGCAGGAAACAGCATAGGGAAGTGCAAGCCACATGTTTGTAAGAATTATGTGCCCATTTATTTATTGTCTGTACATAAAAAGACAGTTTCTGACGTATAAACCATTATTTGTAATGTGTACAATGTTAGTAATTAATTCAATCATAGCATTTCAAACAACATGGGTCAGCGACATAAAACTAGACATTAAATATAACACACACATACACATTATGATTACACAGAGCAATTCAAAGGAACAAATCTCAACCTAGTGTCAACTAACATACTGCTGATTGTGCTGTCGACCACTGATTGCAGTTTCGCTATCATAAGAACCAAGTCAATTTCTTTGGGGTCCAGAACAAACCCACATATGGAATTCTACAAGTTTTTTTTCCTCTCAGAGAAGGAAGAACTTTAATAGCCTTCCTATGGCATGCCTTGTGTTGGAGCTTAGTAATCTGCATGCATTCTGGTTTGGCAAGGCATTTATATCAGTCTTTCCTCTCTTCCCATCTCATTTATATCATGAAATTGCACAGACACACCACTGGTGTGTTAATAGCTGAATGAGCAGAGGTGGAGGGGAGGATGGGGGGGGGGGGGAGGGATATGCATAAAATGAATGAGTGGAGTAGGTGAAAAGTTAAAGTGATTTTCTGTAAAATATTTTGGAATGATCAATGAATACCATTGTCAATACATTATACAATCTGAAGACATAAAAGAAAATAGAATTTGGCATTCAAACTACGATGCATTGTAGAGTTTTTAAATGTATTTGGCAATGTAAATATTAAAAACATTATGATGGACTAGTGCAGTTCTTGCAAAAAGTGCCATAAATTTTTGTGAAAATTAATCAATCCATCTGATTTTAAAACTCCCTCTGCCTTTTCAGCAAAAATGCCTAATGGTAAACTAAGGAATACACAAAAATATGGTTTTTCTCTTAGGAAGCTTCAAATTAACTTCTGTAACTTTCTGAAAAATAATCTTATCATGTTGATTTTTGAAAGAAAAATGCAGGATAACGTTAGCCCAGACTTACATCACATAAGTGCAGAGATAATTAAATCCAGGGTTGGAAGTGATGAAAATCAGTGATTTATCATGGAAGCCTTTAATACAAATGGGATACAACAAATAACATATTAATACAACAAACTTTCTACCAGTACATTTCATACTTCATTTTCACCACCTCAGCCATTCATTATGAAAATAGAGGCTGTTTCACAGAAATTAAATCAAATACCAAACTAGAGGTTATTTTGTAGCATTGGAATAAATTTCACAATGACAAAATGACAATTGAACAGTCTTTCCAGAGATTTACTGCTTGTTGTTTCATTCTGCATCAAGTGTGTTCTGGCTCACTCCCCATTATTCCACGTAACCCATCTTATCAGTGACATCTCCCTTCTTCCCAGCCAACAGCTGCACTAGCACTGGCCCTGCCTCTAATTCAGCTTAATTGAGAAACCTAATATTTCCACAGCAGACTCATAATTTGCTCATATTTCTAGGATTTCAGTTTATGACTGTACTTCTCTTTATTATGTGTATAGAAAGTTTTTTTCCAGAGAAGTGATTAGGCCTTCTAAGGTTTCTGGCCCATTCTTGTTGCTGGATTCAATTTGGAATACTAAATGAAAACTGGCTAACACGATGACATCATTTCACATTTGTTAGATTTCTTATAAGGTTTTCATTTCTTGAAAATATTTGCACTTAATGTAAATGATATCAAATATATACACATGTAAAAGATTTTTTACACTTATTTGTTAATGTTATTTTTTTTAAAACCGAATTTGAATAACATTTTACCACAGCCAAATGAAAGCTTTAACTAAGGAATATTAAGATCTTTCTTAGTGATAAAAACTCAAAATGTATTTGAACCACAATCAGGCCAGTGGTTGGAAACTTCAGGTCATCACATATAGCAGTTACAGAATTTCACCATGTCTTCAGAATAACTAGGCCTAAGATTTCCAGCAAAGCTAAAAAGAATCACTGATGGAGTAGCAAAGAAAGGGTCCATTGTGCAACTTTTCTGTTCCTCTGTCACTGCTCATTTTGCTATGGCTCTAATTGGCTTGGTTTGCTGATCTCCCTCTCCCTAGGTCTCCACCACACACTGAGGGAACCAGATCTCCCCACACTGGCCCACTCTTCATACCAACAATTTCTCAGTCAATTAGACAGAGAGATGATACAACAGGTGTTCCAACAGAGCTAGACAGACTTATGAAATGAAATCTTAAAAGGACATTTTCACGGTTTTTACAGTAGGTCTTCTAGTTTATCTCTGGCGTAATATATAGGGTAGCACCAATTACTGATACACAAAATGTATTAAATATCATGTATCAGTTAAAGGAAACTGAATTATTATTATTATTATTATTTTGAGAAATACAAAGCCAATAAAATACCAAAAACAATATAGAAAAAGTGAATTGACAGTCTTTAACTTAACATATCTTATTTTAATGGGGCAATTTTTTTCCTATTTTTGAAAGAGCAAACTTGGCTTATTATTGTAAGGACATACCAGTAAAGTTGAAAAACTCTAATTATCATGATAATCCATGGACTGTTTCTCTTGTCAGTTTGTCTCATACTTTCTAAGAATTGAAAGAGGCCCTTCACAAATGAGACTGTCAATAAGCATTAAAACATATACTAGTGGGCACCGTTAAAACAATTAGAAAAAAAGTTAACCTGATAAGAGCAAGTTTGTTAGATGTTTTAAATGCTGTGCACATTTCCTCCATGCTCCAGCTCTGGGACCCGACCATTACCAGGCAAACCCTACTGATCAGCATTGCCAGTGTGCGCACACAGCCACAACTCCTCCATCATTGTCATAATTGTCACTGTGGATTCACCAGTAATATGTTACTCTAGTCAGTAATGGAAGGTAATTGGTGAGATTAAAAAATAATGAAGCATCCTAGGACCAGTTCTTTCTCCATGAGCAGACACACACAGAGAGTCCTGGACAGAAACATAGATCATCTCACTCCAGCGAATTCCCTGGGGGGGACTGATGATGAAACTGATCTCACAATATACAAAACAGATCTGACCCTGGGGAATACAGACCATAAAAAAACCTCACTTTTCTATTCTTTATTGGTTCATCTATTTCTATACTGGCATGGCACTTTGTTTCTCTGTAATTAGATTTTAACTGCTATGGTGCTTGGTTACATACAGACTCAAGCAGCCAACCAGAATTTTTATTTTTCCATTCCATGACTATTAATAATAATAATAATAATAATAATAATAATAATAATAATAATAATAATAATAAAATTCATTCTTCAAAAAACTATGTAAGATGCAACTGAAACAGTATCATTTACCTTGGTAATTATCAAATACAGCCCTAAGATTTTATCTATCGATGTTATCATTCATAATATATTAAAATCTTTGAATCATCAGTATTTTGAAGATAAAGTCTGAAACAGCAAATAAGCCTCATTCTTAAAACATTTTACAGAAGTTTCTACGGCTTTAAAACCACGACTGTGTACTGGTGACTTATGGATTTTACAGCAAATGAACTGAGACCCATATTTGTTCCACTCTGATTTGTAACATTTTAGTATCTTATTTCAGCTCTGCATACAATGGAATTTATGATTGTGATAGGCCATAAATCAGAGGTTTTTGCTACCAAACTGCTTAAGTGACATGGGAAATTATCATGACATTTTAGTAAATGTGTAAACAAGGGATCTGATAATAATTCAAGCACACATGGTATTGAATTTCCATCTCAAAAGACAATTGGCAACTTTACTACTAAGTCTATACAGAAAAGTATGAAAAATTATACTTCAAGCTTTATGTTAACAGAAAATATAAGTAAAAAACAAAATCAGAATTTTCCAAGAAATAAGGTAGTCACCCACCTTAAGATGGCTTCTCTTTCAAGAAGTAACATTATCAAAATGTCTTAAAATATGCTTGAAGAGAAATACAAATTTTTTCTAGACCAAATAAATGTGATAAATGGTTAAATAGTATACATGTAACTTAATCATGCTCTATTTAAAACTTAAAAAATTGGAGTTAGGAGTAAAATACTGTGCATTAGAAGTTTGTAGGGTCATTTTCAAAATAACAACAATAATAAATAATAAATAAAAAATCCAATAAAGCAAAATGTAGAAAATATTATCTGTTTTAACTGATTCAGTTTCTTTTCATTCATTTGCCTTAGTAATGGCCCACAAAGACTATCCTCCTGTATGGCCATCTTAGGAATAAATCCAAACTGTAGGATGTCCCATCCCTTTGGCTCTCCAACCCTCCCCCCCCCACCCCACCCCCATCCCCAGGACCTCATCTGCTGTCACTTACAACCTTTATCTTATCCTAACAGCAAATAGCTAGTTTAATATATCAGTGAAAAAATGATGAATGACACATTGTCATATTCTATCCTAAAATGCAGTGTAAAAGGCTACTATTTATTGTAGTACTTTTGGAAAGATTACCGCAAAAAACTTTTTATTCCTATTGATTTTAAGAGTTCTTAATTTCTACTCGTAAAATACAGTACACACAATTTACAAAATTTCCAGTTAAGCCTACTGCCACTTTAAAATCCCCACAAAACAACCTTACCATATATTTCAAAACTTTGAGAATTAAATCAATGTAAACTTTTGAAGCCTTCCCTTTAAAAGTTGATTTGATCTGAGGCATTCTATTGGCTGCATCAGTGTCATGTGGGGAGTGAAACTAAACAAAGTCCCCGCTGCATTCAATTAGGAGCATGGCGCCAGAGCTACTAGCCCACTGCATGCAGGAGAAAACAGCCAATTGAAAAGGGCACATGCTGAATTTTTTCATGTCAGGCCCTTTTTTTTCACTGTTGTTGTTGTTGATATTTACTT